CTATGAGTAGGAAAAAATTGAACTTTTTTGAATCTAGACGAAGGAACTATGGAAAAAAATTGATAACTTTACGCAGTTAATCAAATCTGGGGAAATCGGTTGTCGTAATAACTTCATCTTGGGATTTGAAGAATAGACGATACATAATCTTTGCTTCTTCGCTCCCTTCCCCTCCTCTCTCCTAAAATAGGAGAGTGGGCATGTAGATGAGTAGGAGGAAGAAAGTGAAAAAGTTCTTGAATTTTTATGGTTTGTTCTCAATCGCTTCTAGTTTTCAGAAGCAGAATTGGTACCAAAAGCAGCTGTTTTGCCACTTCTGATTTTCATCTATTTTGCTCCAAAAAAACCAAAAGCAGGTTTTAAAAGGCAATTGACAACAGAGAGAACTAACTTCTTAAGAATCAAAAGCTAAAATCAGGTATTTGGAATTATTTGAGAACAGGCCCTTAGTTGCTCTGCTGCAAACTGTCCTCCTTTGAAGCGATATACTGAACATTAACGAGTAGAAGTTACTCCCTTTCTTGAACGTGACATTATCTGTTTTCCTGTGAGCAAACTATGGATGCCAGCCATTGAGCTATTGCTTTTTCTGCTAATGTTGCTTGCTATAGTTTCTTTTCTTGCATGGGATCTTTGGAGGTCTCCATGCCTTCTCCTCAAGTGCCTTGTTCTTAGCTGATGGATTGGAATTTCTCTTTGAATTTTGGAACTGTCTTTGGTCCTGCTGGACCTTTGGATTGGTGAACTATGATATGATGTGACCCTAAAATATGTGGCTTATTTATTTATTTTTTTGTTTATTGCAGTGTGTGATTCAGAAGGAGAACAACTTCAAGCAACCAGGAGAGAGATACCGATCCTGGGCACCTGACAGGTATTTCTTGGTGCTTACTGCTTAATGGCTCTTTGACTGATGGTATGTGTTTCATGTTTCTGGAGTTCTGATTGATCTGTGTTCCTCAGGCAAGAGAGATTTATCTGCCGATGGGTTGATGCTTTATCTGATGCACGAGTCACCCATGAGATCCGCAGTATTTGGATTTCATACTGGTCTCAGGTCTGATTTTCATGTCTACATACCTCCCTGTTTTTATCTAACTTGCATCTGTAGTAGTCTAACCTTGGGAAAAAAATGTAGGTTTTGCTGATTCAGTACTTGATTGTCTTGCAGGCTGACAAATCTCTTGGTCAGAAAATAGCTACTCGTCTCAATGTAAGACCAACAATGTGAAGGCCATAAATGTTCCTGGTGGTTTACCAGCTGGGGAGTGTGTTGATAGGGAATGTTTGTTCTCGGAGAGGTTGATGGTGTCCTTCAGTGTGCTTCAGTCAGTGTGTTGTATTATGTACCGAACAGGCTTCCATGTCTGGTTTAAACTGAAATTATGTACCGGTGTTAAATAAATAACAGTTCTCTGTGCGAGGATTTACTTGATCATGCATCTTCCTCCAGCCCCCCCACCACCACCCCCCCCAGCCCCCAAACCAAAAGAACAATTGTCCTCCTCCATTGAATTGTGGAGGATAACTTATGTGAATAGATTTGACATTGCCCGCTCGTGTCCTTTGGGCGACTGCCAATATACCTGGAAGATGCTCTTGTGGCATTTTTCAAGGAGTATATATTTTGGGGATCAAGTAGTTGTGAAGGTAATTTATGGTTGGCATACCCGCAGCTTGTCCCCAATTGCGACCTTCATGTATGCAACTCTCAACCCCACATCCAGCCGTTCTGCCAATGAGGTTGGGAGGGCGCTCTGAATGGTTGGTATTTGGGTAGGGATGCCCTCGACAGTTTTGGTGCTGCCATGTAAGGCGGAACCGTCTTCTCCCTCTCTTTTTCTTGGCTTAGTGGAGGGAGGAAATGACGCTAGTGTGCAGTGACGCAGCTTTTGATTAATTCCCGGGGCTGCTGTGGAACTGTAGTTGTTTTATGTATATATATATACACACACACACACTTTCGGGTTTTGATCCATGCAAGTGGAGACCGCAATGAAAAAGCATCAAAGCCAAAAGTGATCCATGCAGGGGGGGAGAACGCAATAACGCATCAAAGTGAAAAAGTATTCGTTAGAAGTGGGAAGGCTAGCCTGTGAGCGGGCATTGCCTGCAGGAGATGACCCTAGCGTCTTAAACTCGTATTTTACAAAGCTTCGATGCATGCCTGTCACTTGTGGTCGTCCCATTACATATATTATTATACTACTAGTAGTTTTTTCAAAGTGACTTTCCAGTTATATATATATATATGTATCTTACGTATGTCTAATGCCGACTACCATTGCGAAATTCGCCCTCGTTGGCGGCGGCGACAATGATCCTATGCCTCGTATTGACCAAAAGTAATTCTGGCATAATTTTATTAGATATAAATAAACAAGGGCCAAGTTCTAAGTCCATTCATGGAGCTGAGTTTGGAACATAAGTTAGATGTTCAAGAATATAAGGAAAAGAGTCGATCGAGTACGCTGCTAAAATTTTTTTTTTAAAAAAATTTTTCTTCCCTTTATAAAGATGAAGAAGAAAATCTGGTCAAAACTCGATGTGGCTAATGTAATGCTCCCTCCCACGCTACAATCGTAGGTAGTACTATGCTTTCCCCGTGTCGTGTGCAAGTGGAACACCTACCCGCTCGCTCATACAATCAGTCATTACATGAATATTCTTTTTGATACAATAACAGTTTATACAATTTCAATTTGATTTTGTAACCTCTCCGTCTTTTTCCTTGACCCCACAAAACCCGGTGACTTTGGTGTAGTATGTGATATCCACAACATATACATACATGGCATACATATATACTAGGCTTTGGCTTTGGTTTTGGTTTTGATTTGACTAAGACGCCAGAAATTGTTTTTCAGTACTAGGTACCACACCAGAACAAGTAAGAGAGAAGGACGAGGAGAATCCTACATGGGGAGCCGGGTCCCTGCTTTCAATCATTTTTACCCAGTACTATATACTATATATATAGTACTGTATATATATTATATATATCATTTTAGGAATGTCCTTTATTCAACAACTAATTCTTTATCTAATCATAAAGAGGACATAATACCCGATACCTTGATTCTTATGCTCTCTTACCCTTCTCTAAACCATTTAAACTAACAAATTCTATTTTGCAGGAAAATGACAAGCTTAACCTCCAGAAAAATCAGCAACTGGATGCCACCCAAGCTTGTTGATAATACAATATTACATATTTCAAAAAATTATTATTCATATAAACAGGAATACAGGAAAGATAAGATTAGATACTTTAATGCTGTGTTTTATAACACAGAGATGTTGTGTTTTACAACACAGAGACTGTCAATGAATCATGACAACATTATATATATAGTACTACTTTGAATGTATATATATAGTACTACATTATATATATATATATATATATATAGTAGTAGTAGTACTACTACTTTGAATGAACCCCTTACCACCTCAATTCAGTGCTTTCCCGGCCCGTTTCAAAATTTGTGTATTTCGGGATTTTGACCTCCCAAAAATAGTTAGTGTGAGTTGATGATGATGATGATGTTAATGTATCTATTTGGAAATTCTAAATTAGAAATTATTATAAAAATATATAGATAGAGATGAGATTAAAAAGTACTAATTTTAGTAGTTTTAGTAGGATGACAAGCATCTCAAAATAATAGGCTCACCGAATCAGGTAGCCTCCTTTTTTTTTTTTTGTCTTTGGTCAAATTGCAAACCCCCCTTTGTTTGACCCTTTTGGGTGTTTCCCCAAGCTGGAGTTTGTGCAGTATGCGTCAGTTCCCGCATCCTGCAACGGCGGTTGACTTTACCCCGCGGAAGCTTCGGTGGGGCTTTCATTTATTATGCTGTGGTGGTGAGTGGGTCTGTCTGGGGGAGAATCTTTCCTCGATACCGAAATTTAACATGATAGGTCCTCGATACGCAGCAGAGAGAACTCCCATTTCAACTGCATAGAATAGAACAGATAGATAAACAGAATAGATGTGGATGGGAGAGCGGAAGAGATTAAAATGAACTGTGGAGGGAATCTGGGGGTGCAGTTAGAATTATTAGCTCCCTATTTACTTACTTACTTAGACCGAGGCCGCCCGTGTCGCTGATGTAGTAGTTTGCTGCACCTGGGAGGACAGCCACACACAAGAACAAGAAGAAGGTTTTCTCTTTCGTGCATCTCAAATCCTTTTGCATAATAATAGTAGATAAGGAAGAGACAGACCCTCCAACACCCGACTTGAATATCCAAGAATCTTTTTTCTTTTTTTTTTTCCTTTCTTTCCCCCTAGACAGTAGTGACTTGCCCTGCCTCTTTTGGTGCTTTTTTTTTTTTGTCTTATTTTGGTTTTATTTTATTTTCTCTAATTGGGTCTGCGATATCTATGGGTCAATAAACTTTTGTACTGTCACTCATGGGATGGGGATGGGATGGGATTTACTTTTACTTCTTTCTTCTCAGTACATCTCCTTTCCTCGCTCTCTGCGTCTCTCACTCGCATGATGCCAACGTAAGAATCTTGAACTGCTGAAAAAAAAAAAAGTTCTGATTTCTCTAACTTTGTTGGAAGATCTCTTTATAGCAATAGAACCGTGTTTCTTCCCTTGTTTCTAGTACTATCTACATCTGTTTTTCAGAGATTCGGCTACATTTTAATTCTCGTCTTCTTTCTGACTCATTCTTCATATGCATGGCAGCGGAATTAATCCAACTTGATATATACACCAATTTCTTATTTCAAATCTTCCTAAACAAATTGAAATCAACCACAGGAGCAGACTTCCCTTTCAGATTCTTCTTTAAAAGATTCAAATTGATCTGCACCGCTACTTGTTCAACAGCATTTGCTTCTGAAAGGTTGCTTTTGGGGTTCTGCGAACGCATAGCTTCTAAATCAGACAGTCTTTGGGCGACTGTGCCCTTGCTTAGTTCCTGAAATTGGATCCTGGGGGATGCAAATATTGAATTTTTGAAGAAAGATTGTAGCTATGAATGAATATGGATATGTATCCACTCAGAATACCATCTCGGGAGCTCAGGGTCTGATTCCCTTATAGATTTGGATTGCATGGATGAGTTGTTATTAGAAGGATGTTGGTTGGAGACCACTGAGGGACTGAACTCTTGAGCGATGGCCCCTCTGACTTCAATGCTCTCTTTGATGCTTCGTTTACTTGGCCAATTTTGGAAGCCATTAATGGCGAATCCAACCCGTTAAAGAGCACTGAAGAAGAGAGGCAAAGGTTATCTTTTTCTGAGAATCTGTCAGCTAGTCCATCCCAAGGAGAAATTCTGCTAAATCAGAGTCTCAAGACGGCAATGCTGTATGTTCTCCGAGTCTATCTGGGAACTTTTCAGCTGAAAGTTCTGCGCTGAGTAGGAGGTTGTGGATTGGACCTAGGGCTTCAACTTCTGTGATGGACAGACTGATTAAGGCACTTGGTTATATGAAGGATTGGGCTGGAGATAAGAATGCTCTTATTCAAATTTGGGTACCTGTAAACAAGGGTGGCAGACGCGTGCTGACTACCAATGATCAACCTTTCTCACTAGACCTTAATTGCCCAAGGCTTGCCTCTTACAGGAACGTATCGGTGAACTATCAATTCTCCACTGAGGAGGACTTAAAGGAGAGTGTTGGATTGCCTGGCCGTGTTTTTATGGGTAGAGTTCCTGAATGGACTCCTGATGTTCAGTTCTTTAGACGGATGAATACCCGCGCGTTGGTCATGCGCAGCAGTATGATGTTCGTGGGACGCTCGCAGTTCCAATCTTTGAACAAGGTAGTCGCAATTGCTTGGGAGTGATTGAAGTTGTCTTGACCACCCAAAAGATCAACTATCGTCCAGAGCTTGAAAGTGTCTGCAGAGCTCTTCAGGTCTGATTTTTTGCTTACATTTACAACTGTACTTTGAACACTTACTTTCACGTTGTTCTGAAGCCTTAGTTCTTATGCTGATAAGAGTTTAAACTAAATTTGAACTTTGATGTAAGCTTAGACATGCACCACCTGGATTAAGAATGTAGACATTTGATCTTGCTATTGGTCATGCATCACTCAACGGACTGAAGCCTAGTGCTGGAATACAGCACTAAAGCTATTTTTTTGTCTATTTAGATAAATTTCTATTTTCCCTTGTTAAACTTCCTTCTTAACATGGTTTATGATTCACCTGTTTAGATTTGCTCATTCTTTTTTATCAAGGGAAACAAGGAATAGTTTTTCCTCTCACTTTCTCCAATTTTTCTAATTAGTTGCTTTATATAAGGATTTCCAAATTTAACTGCTGCAGGAATGCAGCTTGTTTGTTGCTGCAATTATACATAATTTCTTAAGCATCCAAATGAGACTTTAGGAAGTGACTTTGTGTGTTCAAGTCATATTTGTTCACTTCTAGATTGTCATCTACTTTTTTGACTTGATAAAATAGTGAAAATAATGGAGAAACATTCATTAGCTATGTGTTGAGGTTTATCTTTGAAGCTTTAATCTTGGAATATAATAAAATACCCTTGCCAGTTTTTATGAAAGTGAAGTAAATTAAGCACTGAGGCAGCTTTCTTAATTTCTGATCTACCACTAACTTCTTGTTCAAAGGCTGTCAATCTCAGGAGCTCTGATGTTTCAGGCGCCCAGAATAGCAAGGTAATTGGCAGAGTACATAGAATTGCTTATATTCCTTTGATCTGAGGATTTCTGGTACTTTTCAGTTGTTATATGAACTGTTATACTTTAGCAGGCATGTGATTTTTCCTACCAATCTGCATTGCCGGAGATCCAAGAGATTCTAAGAGCAGCATGTGGGACGTATAGTTTGCCCTTAGCTCAGACTTGGGTTCCTTGCATCAAACAAGGCAAGGGGGGTGCAGGCACTCTGATGAAAACCTTGTTCGCTGTGTTTCCACGGTGGATTCTGCTTGTTACATTGCTGATTCCATGTTCAAGGTTTTAGTGATGCATGCTCAGAGCACCACTTATTAAAAGGTCAGGGCATTGTTGGTAGAGCATTCACAACTAACCAACCGTGCTTTTCACCTGATATAACAACTTTTACTAAGACAGATTACCCCCTTTCTCACCATGCAAGGATATTTGGCCTCTGTGCTGCTGTAGCAATACGTTTGAGAAGCATCTACAGTGGTTCAACTGACTTTGGTTTGGAGTTCTTTCTACCCGTGGATTGTAAAGACGCTGAAGAGCATCAGAAAATGCTTAGTTCATTGTCCCTTATCATTCAGAAATTTTGCAGGGGATTACGAGTTATTACTGACAAAGAGTTGCTGGAAGAAAATTCCGTGCCTTCAGGTGGAGTATCAATCCCGTCATATATCAAGTTTGGTGAAGAAATGTCAAAAACAGAACACAGACATTCAGCGATGGCTTCTCAAAGGTCATTTTGGACTTCCCGGCATGCAGAGGTTGAGGAAACTGCTGTTGTTGCATCAAAATTCAGAATGCAAAACCCGTAGAAATGCTATCTGGAAAATTCTCAGCGGCTAGGCAATCCCTGCCTGATATTAGTTCAAGAAAAGAACGTATGTGTGGTGACAGCCTTACTAGAGGACAATGTAGCTTGCTGGATGTCTCTAAAACAGCTGAAAAAAGGGGTGCCAAGGCTGAGAAAACTATTACTTTACAGATGCTTCGGCAGTATTTTGCCGGTAGTCTAAAAGATGCTGCAAGGAATATTGGTGGTAAGCATTGTTGTTCAGGGGTCTTACGTGAGAAACACCTTATTTGTTGTAGTGTCGGGTAGATATTTCATTTCATATATTTATAATTGTATGTTATGTGTGGATTTATTGTCATTTTATGGTGTACGAGATAATATTTTGCATGGATATATTGTCCTGGAATGACGATTTTGCTTATGTTGCACTGTATAATTACACATTTACACACAAAAATTATGGTCTACAGCCCCTCAGGTTTAGCTTAGGAGTGGATCACAAGTATTCCCCTTCCCCTTCGAGCTGAGATTGCTAGTAGTTTGGCATCTAACTGGGAATGTATCTGTATCACTAAAGATGGCGATACTTTTAGTTAACTGTTGTAGCTTAACAACTTTTATAGCCTCCCAAGCAACTCGCCAAGATGTTTTAGAAACTTCACATAATGTGGGATAAGGAAGCTGCGATGTTTCACTTGGTTCTCCTAATATTCTTATTATTCATCCTTCAGTTTTTCTTGCCTTTTCAGTTTGTCCCACCACTTTGAAGAGGATATGCAGACAACATGGGATTAAGCGTTGGCCTTCTCGGAAGATCAAGAAGGTTGGTCATTCCTTGCAGAAAATTCAACGTGTGATTGATTCAGTGCAAGGTGCATCAGGTTCTTTACAAATCGAGTCCTTCTACACAAACTTTCCAGAGCTTGCATCTCCAAACTTAACGACAGCAGCTCCCTTTTCATGCTTCAACTCAAGTGATCATCCAATCTCCTTAAACACGCAGCCTGAGGCAAGCACGTTGAGTCCTCATGCTTCTGCATCCAAGTCACCTTCATCTTCCTGCAGTCATAGTTCCAGTTCTAGTCAGTGTTGTTCAACCGGAACGCAACCACATCCACACACCCTTAAAATTTCTGGGCAGGAAGACTTAGTTAAAAACAACTCAACCGGTTTTATGCTGAAAAGGGTTAGAAGTGATGCACAGCTGGATTTGTCAAGTGACGGACCAAAGTTCCTGCCAAGATCCCATAGTCATGTATCATTTACAGAGCATCCTGACCCAGAAAATCTTCCTCCTGCGCCAAAAGAAACCAGTTGGATGTCTCGCGAAGGAACTACACTGAGAATAAAGGTCACGTATGGGGAAGAGAAAATTAGGTTTCGTATGCTGAATAACTGGGGATACAGGGATCTCTTAAGGGAAGTTTCTGGGAGATTTGGTGTAGATGACACCACTGGATTTCAGCTCAAGTACATGGATGATGACTCTGAATGGATACTATTGACATGCGATGCTGATCTTGAGGAGTGTTTAGATATTTGTCGATCATCTCAGAGCCAGACAGTAAAGCTGTCTTTTCTTTGTGCTTCTCACCCGCTGCATGGAAGTCCTTCGGGCAGTAGAAGTTGTGATAAAGTTGAAAAGTATTTAGCAGGAATCAATGTACAAATAGCCTCCTGTTTTAGGTGTGCATATTTCCATCCGCTGGTGGAATTAAGGATTTGAGTCCAAATCTTGACCATCATCTTTAGTCCCTTTATGTTGATAGATTAATTACGCACGAACGAACTTGGTAGTGGTTTTGACCTGCCGGATTGTAAGTTATTTGAGATATTTTTACTGTAACACTTTTTGTGATGTGATGTATGTGAGATAAAAAAGTAATTGAAAAGATAAAAAGGTGTATTGAAAATTATAATGGTGATGTAAGCAAATATATTTGGGCAAATAACTTACAATCCAAACACACTAACTGTTTCGTTGAAGCTATCAACGCTTCCTGAATACGTGATTCTGCATTTCCTCCCAATTACTGCTGATTAATTCTGCTTTACAGCAAGCATGTGTTAAACTAAGCAGGGCAAGTCTAAGTTGTTTTTGTTCAGTTGGAAAAACAGACGAAGGGGTTCTCTCGCTGCACCGCAAAGCCCAATCAACACAACAAAAATAACATTCCAAAGAGATTTGTGTTCTGAGTCGTTATTTGTCCAGGAGTGTGGTATTGTGCATAAAAGCCATCCGAACTAACAGACTCACGGCTTCTATACATACAAAATCAGATACGGCCACAAGCTGCTTATGATTTTACGGTGAACCGTGGTTGAAAGTATAATAGCTGTTAGGTACATAATCTTGTCCCGGGTTGCATCAAAGATGACAGAGTCATCACTGCCACCGGCTTAGCAGCGAGAGAGGTCTTCATTCAGTGCCCGTCATATTGACTTGCGCCTCGGATCCTCTTATTTAGAAGCTTATTTCGTAGTTCTTGCTCCACACTACTAAATATGAGTTATCTGCTTTTTCTTCCAGTGTTTACTTTCCTCATACCGCAACGACGCCGGTGGAAATTCAACTAGAAGTGACGAGAAACACAAGCGTACGTCCATCTTATGCCATCAATTTCATGATGCTGGTTTAGAATATTTCTCTACATCCAAGAAGAAGAGAATAGAACACCTGCACTTCATTTTTGAAGTTACAAAATGCTTCCTAAGCTCAGGCCTGCAATACTCGTTTAAAGCTTCCAAACTAAACAGTTGCATATAGAGCAACCAAGGCAGAAGGAGGTCGGCATGGAGATCTCAAAAAAGGGAGTGGTATTAAGTATTAACTCAACTCGAACATTTTAGCTTGGAAAGACAACTTCGATGAGTAGCCATGCCCACTGGATACAAAATTTTTCTAGAAATATCAATCCATTCTCTTGCTGAGTAAGTTTCTTGTGCAGTACATGCTTGTTCTGGTAAGCTCCTGGCATATTTATATTTTTCTCATCCTCCCTTTGTCAGAAGAACGCTGTATTTCTAGCCTCTAAATCTACCTTGGTGTGTTGCAATGTTTTACAGCTGATTAAGTACAACTATGGCAATTAAACAAAACTTCTCTTCCCCCAAGAGAGACCACCAAAAACAATGTTAAAGAGAGGGGGGGCAGCAGATTATGTTAGATTTGTGATGAAGTAGATGGCCGATCCTCTTGCTTCTCTATTAGCACACATCTTGATGGTGGACCAAACAAGCTCAAGAGTACCTGCAAGACAGACGACAGTTTGTGACAGTAGTTACCATGCCAAAGTGCAGCTCCAGCAAAAGATGCAACTTCTTGTGCCATGAGATCCATCAGATCACATATTTTAAGGGGCCACCATATTCTATGCCTTATGTGGCAGTAAAAGACCAAATTACTTTTGTTATCTAGTCAATGAACAGTATAAAGTATAATTCTACCCGAGGAAACAAATCACTGATCAGGCATGCAGGCCAATCCCAAATTCTCATAAAAACCAATATATACAGGAGAGAGCAAGGATCTTACAGGTAAAAATACTAGTCCATGCAAAAAACCTAGAAGTACCAAGGCCAGATACATTTTGAAGTAGTAAACCTGAAAAGTTCAGGACAATGTTAAAAATAATAAAGACAGAATGGTCCATTATACGCACAAATGTTATCGTGCAAATTTACTAACCACAAAAACTTCCGTCCTTGAGAAGCAAAGGACCAGCACACCGACAAGTTTTGTAAGAGTGATTCCACTGAAAACAAAGAACAAAAGTCGCATTTTATCAATTGGGCCAGGCTGGGAACAAGATGATACCGGTGAGGCTCTAATTGGAGAGGAAAAGTGCATCAATCTATAATAGTCTCGCACCAAGTCAGTTATTCAAGCATTATAAAATAATAAAGTACACAATTGATTGTTTTATAGCCTAAGTTCAAGAATATCAGTTCTCCGAGTCAAAAGTATCATGTACAGCACAATAACCCATAAGAAATTTTAGAAATTTTGCTTTAGAATATATTACCACACAAGAAAACAATTATGTTTACTTCTAGTAACAACCTTTAGAGTCCAAGCTAAATATTGTTAAAGTAGAACAGCCACTTTGAACAACTCAGCCAAATTATGTAAGAGCATTAAAAACTAGTACAGTAAGTCACATAATTTCTTGACCTATATAGCCAGAGGAGCCTCATAATAAGCTGAAATAACCTAAGGACAAATCCACCTTATCTTGCCAACACAAATGAAACACAATGATACACAGAACTGGTTGATTTGAGTATGACAAAATATTATCCTGCCTTCCAACTGCCAAAAATATTTTACAGATGACAAGGGAAAGAAGCAACCATTGATTACATGACCGATGAATTTGGACTTTCACCAGTCAATAGTAAAAGATGCTTCCAAAGAAGATAATTGGCAGTTTTACATCCTGACCAAGTGATATTGTGAATATCATATGCCTCTACCTCAATTCCAATGCAATCACCCTGCTTTTGCCCAATAACAAACAAGAATCTTTTTCTGATTATTTGTGCACAAAAAAGACGATAATATGAAATTTACAATGTATATAATAATATTCTTGCGACAACAGATCATAAATTACTTACTAGGTCTAACATGCAGCATAAAAGGAAAGCAAATCTCAAAAATCAGAAAGCAGGCAAAATAAACCTGAAAACAGAAGCTCCCATTGTTGTCAAAGCATCCTTCATCCGTTGGTTTCTGTCTCCACTACTTACCTGCAAATAAATCCAACAAAAAAGGTAACCAAGGTTGGTCATTGCATTAATTAAATGAATGCAAGCAGAAATGACAATATAAGAGACAAAGGCCTCATGCAAATGAGCAAGGGCAAACTAAATCATTGAACAGCTAAACCCAATTTTAGACAAATTAAAAATTCTATACCCTATTACTTTAGTCATGTATTAAGTAGTTTCAGAACAAGTAAAATATCCAATACTTGCAACTTTTATTAACTTCAAAGGTTCAAGACTGCCTAGGTAACTACTGTATTTAATGGCAGGCATATCTATATGCTGACAAAAATTTGTGGGAGAGTATAGCAATAGGTAAAATGAAAAAGCAAACAAGATAATCTTCCTTTGGGTATCTTTAAATTTTAGTTAAACACTCTATCGTACTTGCATTGTGATGGCCAAAAATGACATGCGTTTGTTTCTCCTCGTTTTACCAATCATGCCTGACTTCAATAACTCACTTTTTTAATTTTCCTTTTTTTTTTGGCAGGGGATGGGCGGGGCTTAAGAAGCAGGGAAGAGAAGGGAGAGTTGAACCCAAACCTCTAATTCCGGGGGTCTCACCTTAGCCACTAGACCAAGGCCTCCTCAGCAAATAAAACAAAAACAAGAATGAATCCCATCCCTTAAGGACAAGAAAGAAAAGTATAAAAAGGATAAGAAGTTAATAATGGAAAGTAAGTTAGCGCAGAGTAAAAAGTGGAATCGGAAAACTGACCAAGAAAGCATGTGTTATATGCACACAGAACTCAACAGCAATACCAACTGACATCACAAGGTTGACAACAGAGACTGCATTCAGTTGGATATTCAAGATTGCCATACACCCTGCAGAATATTGGTGTATAGAACTGAAGTTAAATGGCTTCAAGAAAAAAGTTCCACAATTTGTGTGTTCAAGATTCAAATGTACCATAAGGTCCACCACGATCATTGCCAGCACAAGTAAAATGATTGCTGAAGTCCACAAACTATACATGGAATAACAAGAGATAAAATGATAAAACTTCTTGGTATGAACACATTCAATTGTATCAAGGAGGGTGAAGAGTAATACAAAAAGAAAGGGCTAAAGCCGCTTACCTACAAGTGATTACCAGGCAGACAATGAAAACTGCACCTGTTAGAAAAATCACATCTGATGATTAAAGCCTCAACAAATTGGGAGGGGAGGGAAGAACAAAAGCCATATACATCACCAAAAGTTCTATTTTAAAAAATTTACTAAGAAAGTTTCATATTATTGATCCCAAGTCGTGTTCATTGCTTAGACATCACAATCAAAATGATGATTGATCCAACTTGTCCCTTAACTGAAGGCCCATCTCATCACATGCATTTTTCATGAGGACAATATATGTGCACCCTTTTGGGCAGTATTGCAATTAACGTTTCATATCAGGAAATAAACAGCGAACTCTTTCAATGAAGAGAAAGTATAATGAGAAAATATATGTATTAACTGAGAGGGGCCATGTCGGGTTAAAAGGCATTAGAGTCATAGCAGAAAAATACAGCAAATAGCAAAGATTGAGAACTTGAAAGATATTAGATTTTCATTTTCAATTTTTTCCCCATTCTTGACTATCAGACGCACTCAATCAAACTTAAAGTCAAGTCAATGCAGGCATATATACTTCACTTTAACAGAAGAAAATAGTTACATCACATACCAATCGCTATCACGAGGTTGATTATTGCTGTCCTCCAAATATTAAGATATTGTTCAAAGAACATGTAAAATACAGCATAAGGGAAGATCTCAATCTGCAAGCAAAATGTGCACAATGTTGATAACGCATTAGAAGTCCAGAAAGTTGCAGCCTCCCAGAAGATTCTGCGAGCATGTTTGGGCATAAAGGTGTGCATGTGCATATTTCCTTTTGGTGAAGAAAATGAAAAGGACCTGCTTTATGTATGTACCACACTAGATTTTAGTCTTTGAGAAGCAAAGACACCATATATTGTTGTTGCTGCAATATCCACTATATAGAAGGTCTAGTTAATTTTCATATTGCTAATGGATGCAAGAGTAAATAAGTAAAGGACAAACAGAATAAGCTTTTGGTATGTCAAATTATAC